ACCTAAACTTACTTTGGTAAAACCTATCACAAATAGGCAAAACGTTGGATGAGATTTCGGTTAAATAAAATATTTATCCCTTAACTTTAACTCTCAGCATTCTCTTAAAATCTTCAATTTTGAAATCTGGTGAAATATTTTTAGTTTTAGTTATTTATTTATAGTACACATTTTTGGAAAAACTATGTAATTAAAACATTCATCAATAGTTATATAAGTAGAATTTACAACGAAAATTCTCTTAAAAAGAGTAATTACAGTTTTTACGTTCATTTATATAATTTAAAACGTCTATACAAGTTTAAATTTTTAGCAACTTATGTATAATATAAAAAAAATCGAAGTACACGATATATGTATTATACATAAATACACTATAACTTGGTCATCTTTAACTTTTATAAAAAGTATCGGATTTCATCGATGTTTAAAAAATATTTGCACTAAAAATTAATTTTGAGAAAATTATTCACTCAGTAGTTGAAAAATGGTTGGAACTACCATTTGTGTATTAAAATACTGATATCTTCTTACAATTTAAATACTCATTAATTTCTTACGACTAGTTCCCTAGCAAAAATATCTGAATAAGTGCCGTTTATACCAATATTACGGTAACTAAGTTGAGTAAAAATATGCCGTCAGTTCTAAAAAATTTTGATGTATGGAACACCTGCAAATTTCTAATTATTGATGAAATCAAACAGGAAAAACAGTTTGCAATATATCCAGTAAATAACTAAAACAGACTCACCTTTAAATATCTCAACAGTTTTTTGATGAACGGATACGTGTTCCATCCACAGTGATTATTTATCAATGCCTCAACGATTATTGCCCACAATCAAAGTGAGCGAAACACGTGCCCGTTTTTCAAAACAGTGTTAAATGTGGTATTCCTTTATTATTTTTCATGAATCCGGTAATATGATTATCAAAAAAACAAGAGAAAACAAATAAATACATGGAAACAAATTAATATGTCCCAACATCTTACCATAAGCAATAGAAATTATTCGTAGCAATAACAAAGATTAAAAATAACTAGTGGACGAATTAAGTACTCAAAAATTGCAGATATGAAGAACACGAATTATTTACAAATACCAGGAGAATATTACTCTCAGCGACAAAAAAAAATAGTCGTAGGATGTTGCAAATGATGAACTTTTTAACCTAGCTTCCGTCAATCCCAAATGTCCGTGGGAAAATTGTTTACCTCGGTTTGTTCTTGTACAGGAGTACCATCTAATACATACGACAGTCTTATACGCATCCTAAGTATTGCCTAAAATTAAAGCAAAAATTTATTTGACACAAAAACATAGTACAGAATGGTTTTTTACTTTGCTAGGATTAGTGACCCTTAAAACTTGTGTTATTTGACCACTTGGAATGATAATTGTACCAGAAGGTGATAGCATCTGTAATTGGAATGTCTAAAACAAAGAGAAATTGTTATTTAACAACATTGACAACGAAACCCAAAGTTTCGAATTAACATTAGTTTACATGTATCGATGAAATATTCCAATTGTAATTAAAAAAATTAATTCATTATTTATAATACTTTACATCAAAAAACTAAATATATAAACCTTTTTACTTTCTGAAAATAATAATGTCATTATATTCACATTAGGTAATGTGTGTAAAACTGTCACTATTTTACTATAAAACATTTGTTACTTTTAGGCCGTCGTCTTAAGAAAAAGATATTGTAAATGTATGATTTAAGGCACTATAACATTACTTTAATTTCATTCGCTAAAGAAGAATAACA